AAACTTTGGGAAATTAAAATTTTAAAAGAAGTATTTTAATGCTTCTTTTGAAATTTTAATTAAAATTAAAATAGTAAAATAACAAAATATGTAACTGAAGTTTGAAAAAGGACAATACAGCAATTCATCATTCACCACCGCAAATTCATTTCAAGATGAGGCTGGGCATGTAGATAAGACGCAGCCCCACAGATTGTGTACAATCGAACCTCCGGTTGCGACCACCTCTCGTAAGTAACAACCTCCCCTCAGCGACCAGTTTTCCAAAATATCAAAAGTTTCCAAATTAAATCACTATACTTGGAACCTCTCCACCTCTCGAAAGCGACTGCGACCACTTTTGAAGCTTAAAGTTTGAAATTTTCTTTTGTTTTTAACCTCCCGTGAGCGACCACTTGACAGATAGTAGAGCGGATATTGGATAATAACTTGTTGTAACATTAACGCAATCCTGGGTAGAAATTTCTCAATGGGAAGTACAAATTTTTTCTCGGAATTGACTTTTAAATCTTTCGACAACTAAAAGTTATTATATGGATTTAGGATGGCATTGGCGCATGGGGTCTCTGCAGCTACCATTTGCTAATGAGGCAAAAGTTTGACCCAACATGGTCTATAAGCTCTTGTAAAAGACCACCTCCCGTAAGCGCTTACTGGAGGTTCGACTGTATTGACAATTTACATAAGTCTCAATTAGCCCTCCAGATATTCTATAAAAATTCTTCCCAAGAACTTGCCGGATCAATCGTGTTTTTGGCAAGTTCATGTTGCCTCCTGTTTCAATGTTATATCAGCTTTCTGACCAGGTTCCTTTATTTCCCGGCCGTTTCAAGATTGCTTCACGTTTTTGAAAAGTTATTTCACGTCTACTAAAAGGTCATTTTGCGTTTTTGGCAGTTTTAGGCGTCATTTCAAAGTTATTTCGAGTCATCAGCTGACGAGGATATATATATATTTTCCTGTTCCCTCACCCTTGTCCAGATAACACGGGGCTGAACAGCTTAATAAGCACATGTGCTAGGGAATCTGAGATGTGGTAACTAATGTCCAAATTTACAAAGACTGTACGGGTACCATCGTTGACATGCGTTGCTAAGATTAACTTATCTTGCTAGGTCCAGACAGAACAAAGCCTACTTACTTGAGATAGGTTCCGAGAAGATTCCTGTGTTTTGTCGCATGAACAACCTTGGTGCATGTCGGGGAAGTGGATGGACGCTGGTTATGAAGATGAATGGCTCACAGGTATTTCCCAGTTCTATTTTACTATTCTCTATTTCAAGTCTTACTCTAACTCTTGCTATTACACTCTTACGTTATATAGATGTGTAGACTTCCACCTAGGAGCTTTTAGACAGTCACTGTAAACACTGTTTATTTAACATATCGTTTTACTGTGACTTGCTTTAGGAGCCCGCCAAACACAGCAAGAGTGTTAGGGACACAGTAAACACCCGCGTATAAGAATCTTTAATCTAAGAACCCGTTAAGCTAAAATCTTCACATGAGATCCATAGTAGCCTAAAACCTCAATACAGGTTATTATTTTCAATATATATTTTTTCTAATATAATACAGCGCATACAAAAAAGGTAACAAAACCTAGCCAGAACACTGGCAGTGTTATAAGGCCACAATGCTGTACTGTCAATACATGCATAGCTGTGCATCACATCCAACTGAGTGTATCAGTTAACCTTCTAAAACAGGGCACTAAAAATTAGGGACCTGATTAAGAACCTAGGTAGCCTAATTTCAGTGTAAACACCATTTATATAAGAACCTATGGAGGCTAACTTAAAAAAAAAACCTTGGCCGGTTCTTTTATGTAGGGTTTCACTGCATTTAATGCAACCTCACGGACACAAATGTCTAATTAGATATGTTTACTAAAATACAGAGAAACTTTCACTTTGATTCTGATCTATGGAGCAACAAAAATTCTTTCAACCTTGATGAAGGGAAGTTAGGGTTTAATACAAAAGAGACCAAGTTACCGACCTACTGGAACACTCCCTTCTCCAAGGTATGCCTTGGTACGAGGAACAACAACAAGATGAAGTACACTGTCATCGACAAACAAGCCAGTTCTCTGTATTCACTAATCGCAGACGGAAATTACCGCCCTACCTCGCTGGGTCGTGATACGTGGAAGTCGCTGATTGGTTCACAGGGTTCTTTACAATCCAGCTGCAACCAGGAAGGATTCAATGTCGTAGGTTCTGGAGAGATTTACCGTCCTAAAGCAAGAATAGGCATTCTTGGTAATAATGAAAACCACTGTAGAACCTGTGACTCTAGGATTGGGTTTGGTACGGGCGGGAAACAAGATGACTCCAATACTTGTGGAAATGAGACTTCTCATGGTTACGAACACACACACATCAAAGCCATGGGATTTATCTTGGTGTTGTAACAAAAAACAAAATGTCAAAACATTAAAAATTAGCGGGAGGGTTTTATTTCTCTTTTACGAAGCCGGACAGGTTACTACATTACGTACGTAAAGCACCTGGTCCAGTAAATAAGGATAAAAATAGTAATTGTTTTTAATAAAATTGCGTTTTGTCTTCGTGAACTGCTAACTTATAATGAAACGATCCTTTAGCTATGATATCGCGCCAAATACCACACAGTCTGTTTTCCTTATGACCTATACAAAAGGGTTTGGTTGGGGTTAACTGGCAACTCACAAATGACAACAACAAAAAATTAACTGACAGTTAGTAAATATCCTAAAAGTTAACTGACGACTGACATTTCTAGTTAGATTTACTGACAACTGACAAAAGGCTTAAGCCATTGCTATTCGTTTCAAATTCATCTAAAATAACTTTTTTTTGGGTAAGAAATAATATTCTTTTAATCTTTTTAGTTTAATATATATACTATTCGCGCTGTTTAGTCTGTTCTCAGACCGAAACCATAACACTGGCTTTTCTATTTAAAAGTCTGTAAATAAGAATCATTCACAATAGACCAATTTCTATGTATTAAAATTCAGGTAGACCTCAGCACGAGGCTCTGGG